AAAAAAAAAAGATCCATACTTGAGTAGGTATGTAAAAGGTTAAACTGTTCAAATAAGCATGGGCTAGTGAGCAAATTCAGAAAGACAGTTCTCTTTCATTTCTAAAAGCATAAAAGCTTAGCTGATCCAGAAGAACTAAGCAAAAAGTTTTCAAATCAAGAGCAATCCTGGAAAGTAAGTCAAGCAGGGTCTAAGCTTTGAATTAATTACAAAGATACCATTCCAAATTTTTCTGGCAACCTACAAACCCAACCTTTATTTATTTTGTAGCAGAAGAAATAATTGTAGATTAATTCATCCCAGAAGGCCATGAGGACACCACATGTGACCATGACAGTGGAGGGGAAATGAGCAAAAAGATCTACTTGAATTTCAAGTGGAACACCTCACTTCATTGCCTATACTTTGTAAGTAATGACCAATGCTGGTTTAACATGTATTTTGTCGCACATTGATATGGCTATAAACCCATTTTCTAACTTTTAAATCCTAAACTAGAATTGTGAAGCAGTGACTCAAAGACCTATCCAAAATGCTGTGGTCGAATTCTGTAGTTGAAACCAAAGGAGATTCTAGGAAGCAATGTTTTTTTTTTTTTCTGAGACAGAGTCTCACTATGTGGCCCTTGATTGAGCTCACAGCAACCTCAAACTCTTGGGCTCAAGCAATTCTCTTGCCTCAGCCTCCTAAGTTAACTGGGACTACAGGTGCCCGCCACAATGCACAGCTATTTTTTTGATGCAATTGTCATTGTTGATTAGCAGGCCCAGGCCAGGCTCGAACCCGCCTGTCTCCATTTATGTGGCCAGCAACCTACCCACTGAGCTATTGGTGCCATCCCAGGAAGCAATTTTAGAAGCATTCTCTGCTGGTCAAGTAGCTAGCTGGCAGCATAAGCTCCTCTCTTTCATTTCTAAAGAATAAAGTTTCCAATAATAAGTGGCCCCAAAAAAAGTAAAAACTAAGCATTATTTAAAGAAAAAAGCAAATCTTGCTAGAATCCTGACATCACTCCAGCAACATTTTGATTACATTTTGGATCGGGAACATTGTTCTTTTCAATTCTCTTTCAGGGCCTGGAAACAGAATTATAAGAACTCAGGGCCAGGCCATTTAAAATTAAACTACCAAAATACTTCCATACAGAAAGAATTACAAAAGTCTTCACAATTCCACCTAAATCAATTTCATGGTCACCCCAAGCAGGTCTAAGCAGACCCTTCTCCCCAAAACCCTGCGGATAACCAGTCCACCCCCTCCTACAGAGATAACAGGTCAACTAGCATGAGTTGCCAACAGTGCTCCTGATCCCCTCTCCACATGGAAACCCACCTTTAACTCTGGTCTGAGGAGGAACCTCTCATTCCTGCTCTGGACCTCACCTCACCCTGAGCCCCTGTCACTGCAGATGCCATGACCATATCTCAACGTCATCCCATCTATACTCATTTTTTCTCCACTACCTCATCTTCCATGCCAAGAGGTTCAGCATCCCCACATCTAACAACTTCTCAGCCTACACAGGCTTCAAATTCCTCCACCCTATACACTTTTTGGAAAGGGTGGCCTCAACCCTATTGCTGACCTCCAGGTATCCAGCTTCCTCTTGCTTCTTGCTTGCTCATTCTGCCTTTATTCTACTAACACTTGGCAGTCTGGCTCCTGCCCAAACTGCTCCACAGTGCTGCAATTAATGGTGTGTGCTCTGGAGCTAGACTGCCTACTCTCTAAATTCTATTAGCATGATGATTGACTTTGGGGCAATTTACTTACCCTCATATGGTTGCTGTTATAGTTTAAGTTTTAAAAAAATTTATGTGTATGTGTGTATTTAAGCTCTTCAGAAAGTACCCAGCATATACAAAGTGTTCGACAAGTGTTAATGTATTGTTCTAATTACAATTACTAAAATCCTCCGAAAGGAATAGGAAGGCTTGAATGGCTAACCACAGGGCTGTTCACAGCAGTGGCTGACACTATCCAATCCTGGCCTCCAAACTGGGCTCTGATCCTTACTTGGTCTCTTCTGGATCTTCTCCTCTAGGTAGAGGGGTTCCTCTAAACTTCTATTTCTGCTTTCATACATCCTCATTCATAAACCCCAAACTCTTATCAGACAGCTCTCTTCATCGGTACCAATGAAACTGAAATCCTATATG